GCTCCCCGTGCTCCTCGGCGATTTTTTGAACCCGACATCTTCGGCGAAACACGGCAGCGATACGGGCACGATCTCGCACCATACACGCGTCACCACCACCCCACCCCACCCCACCCCACCCCACTTCATACCACACCATACCATGCCACACCACACCACACCACACCACGAAAAACTTCGCTAGACTATTTCACTGGACAGCGCGTCGCTGTGCAGCGGTCGCCCTTGTCACGAGCGACTCAACGCACCACCAAACACCAACACCGCACCCCGCACCCCGCACCCCGCACCTTGAACTTGTTGAGGAGCATCTCGCACGCGCCGTAGGCGTACTTTCGGAGGCGGATAACCTCGTCCGCGCACGTCAGGCTAACCCCTTCTTGGAAACCCGGACCCGTGTACGTGGCGTAACGTCCGATGAACCTAACGGCGGCAGCGGTCGCGCGGAACAACATCAACAACAACATCCACGAACTGATTTGGCATCCTCGTCGTCGCGGGAGTAATCGGGCTTGGAAAATCGGTCCGGGGTGTGTGTGGTATCTTACGTGATGGTACGCGGAAGCGCTCGCCCCACATCTCACCTGCGTGGTTGTCTGCAGGCTGAAGCGCGTGCGACGGGTCGCCCGGAGTCCTACAGCACTCAAAAACACACCATTTCACAAAAACTGGCAGACAAAAGCACGACAATTGCAAAAAACATTCGTCTACACGTAAAAGCTCGCTCGACCTCTCACAGCACTAGCACCCACCCCTTCGTCTGAAGCCGGAGGGACATGTCGAAGTCCTCGCTCACGTGCGCCTCTGACCAGAACTTGGTCATGCCGTCCTCCTTCCACGATACCGCCTTCATCGCGTTCCATCTGCAGACAGACACGAACAAGAACAAGGAGGTGAGACAAAATAAGCGCACGCGCAGTGCTGCAGTTGTTCATTCTCTCTACACGGTGTCGTCTGATGCAACCGACAAGTACAGCAGGAGACAACTAGGACGCACAAAAAAGGGCATGTCTGCTGCGCGTTGGAGGTGTTCGTCCGGGGCTTTGGTGTTCATTTTGGTAAAGATTCAAGAAGAAACATGCCATGAAGATAGATCATCTGGGTCTGTTGTTTTTGCTTCACATTTGACAACTGATCTGGCCGTCTTTGTGTTAGTACCTCCTCCTCTTCTCCACAATCCTCTTAAAAATGCCAAGTGGCGAACAAAAAACTACTAATACATTGCTTTCTTCAGCATCAAAAAAGCAAAAAAAAAAAAAAACATCGAAACATTCCATGCTATGCATTCGATCTGGGCTCATTTGTTTCATTTCACCTGAGAAACGCGTTGTGTCCCACAAGGGGAGCTGGGTCGCCGCCAGACACAGACAGCGCGATCCCGATGTCGTAGATGTTCTCCGTGAAGTGGGCGATCATGTCCTGAAACAAATAGAAAAGAAGGTCAGAGATGCAAAATATTGGGGGAGAGCGTGGGGAAAACACACACGAAGAAGCTCTGCGGCATCAACAGCATCAGCATCCAACAGAAGAGAGCAAAGCATCCAGCAGCAACAACAACAACAATGACAACGACAACGACTACGGGCTCTCTTCTCTTACCTCCCAGTAGTTGTCCTCCGCACGGAGGGGGGTGGTGCGGCACTGTACGAAGCCAAGGTTGGGACACTCCTGAAACTCCCCGACCACCTTCGTCAGGCAGTCCTCGGGCACCCTGGGCGAAACCAGCAAGACAGCAACAAAAAATATACACCAAAAATGAAAAAACAAGCACATCAACTTTGCCAGTTTGTTTTTTAAACGAAAATTATCTCTTGCCAGTTTTTTTTTTTTTTTTGCGTTCTTTCGCACGCGGACGACGCGGCGGGCACACGCGAAGAACGCGATCTCGACGGCACAATCTGGAGCCAAACAATACGGCAAAGCAGACGAGGAAAAAAATGGTTGCTGGACCCTACTCGAGATAAGTGTGAAACACATGCGCGGCAGAGGAACTCCTGTTTTGGGGGCCACACCCCAAGCTAGAACTTTCCAATCAAGACAGGAAAGAACCAACAACAACACACAATATTCTCTCCGCGTGTACAGTCCCGATCAATCAACACCTCCCCCTCCCGACTGGAAGGAACGATTGGCCATCGGTGATCGGTCGGTCCTGTGGGAACTATGCCCCACTCTCCCGCCTTAACACACGCCAACACCAACGCACAACACCCCTCTCCACCGCCGTCACTCACCGGGTGTCCGAGTCGACGAGCAGGATGATGCTCCCCATGGTAAGGTCACCCCCGGCTAGAAACTCTCCCTGCGCCGCCTCCTGAACCATGGACAACGCTAGCGCCGGGTCCGACAGCCCCTGCTCCTCCATCACCCCCATCGCTCGGTTGCTCACGTCCAGGCAGTAGTTCATGTTGCTGCGGGGGGGGGGGGGCCCCCCGGGGACCACACGGCCCGCCCCAAAGGGGGGGGGGGAAAAATT